CTAAAATGATGTCATCCAAGGGGGAGTGTTGTAAATAATTGGTGGATGACATAATAATTGGTGCATGACAAATTTGTCAACATTTCTAACTAGTTACAATTATATGTTAGTAAAATTTGTAGTATAAATACTCATCCATTGTAAAGAATGAAACACACCAAAAGTTATAAGAGATATAACTTTCATGTTCTCTCTAAATATTATTTCTTCTCAATTAAAGTTCTTATCAAAGTTTACTAGTTTGGTTTGATTTATAGTTACATTAATTACGCTTAATTCATAATATAATATATATATATATATATATATATATATATATTATATATATATATATATATATCCTAAATGCCAACTTTGCATAAATTGTATATATTAATGTATGATGTCACATTTAATTTACTCGTTATAATAATAGAGTTTAACCCTTAAAATAAAAAAAATCATGCCAAAACAATGAACATTTAAAATATCGAGACTTATGGTTTAAGGTTAATAATAAAACTAATATTAATAAAATTTTACCAGATTGTTAAGACTATAGGGATCATTATTGGAAATATCAGGTTTCAATTCAAAATGAATAAAAAAAAGGTAAATCGTTGTGACAACTGACAAGGAAACTGATCTTTTTTTTTTTCAAAACCAAAAGGGCTCGTTCCGTAAATCTGAATCCTTCAAAAGTAAAAAGAAATGCACACGTTTTGACTGGTGGCTTCCATCATTTTTGTTTATTATCACAACGTTTAATTATTATTATTTTTTTTACAACCCATTCCTTTGCTACCCGCCCAAATAAAGCCCGAATCCATTTCTTCTAGAGCTCCGAGTTTTACCCAATTAATGTCGAATAAATTCGTAAAATCACCATTAAACATCTCCATTTCTTGTTTACATTTTCCCCATTAAAATTTTTAACAATAAATTTATAACCATACGAATTTCAGGTTTCATTATACCAAAATTCTACTCTTTAGATTTTTATCAAATTGCTACTGGTTGAATCAAATTTGCGACAATAGATTTAGCCAAAATGCGTTTAGCGTGCATAAAAATCTATCTAAGCAACTATATCAAGCTAAAAACGAAAATTCATACCTTAATTTCGTACACAAGTCCGAAAATACTTTATGAACTTCTTCCTTTGATTTCTTCCTTGTTTTTCAACCTTTTCTTGTAATTCTAGTGGGGTTTTCACTCTATTTCTCGTGTCTTTTATAATGTTCAAGTTTGTAACCTTTCTAGTTAACCCAAAAGTCTAAATTTATGACTCTAATCAAAATGATGGGTTTTAGAACTAAAATTTCATAATTTCTCTATTTACTCCTAATAAAATCCTTAATCATAATTATAATAATACATTTTGACCATGTATTTATATATTTATTTTAATTTGAGTTATCACACTGATTGAGATGGATGCATCATCAAGTAGTGAAGTTGCAAGACTTAAAGTTGTCATGGAAACTATCAAAGGAGAACTTAATCACAAGTTCATTTTAATGTTGTGTTTTGTTTTACTATAATAAATATTATTCAATATTAGCAATTTATTACATTTAGTTATTGAAATGATTATTTGTATCTGACATACTATATTTTATGCAATGAATTATCTTTTTTGTGTATGGTATTTTATTTTGTATTATGAGAGTTTAAATGTTTTAATTAATTTGATAATTAATAAATCTATAATATATATATATATATATATATATATATATATATATATATATATATATATATATATATATTAAAAACATTTAAAATTATGACACGCAAAAATGTGTGCCGTCTTTCTTTTATGACAAGGGCTTTAATGATACACATTGCGTTTCGTAAATGCATGTTATAAATGTGCGTCCTAAGGTTACGACACGCAAATGTGTGTCGTCTTCCTTTATGACAGGGACTTCTTTGACACGCATTTGCATATCATTTGTCTCTTCATTAAAGGCAGTTTTTCTAGTAGTGACCCTTGCAACGTAAGGACACTTGCATCACCTAGACCATCCAATCATTATATAAGAACATCGATGCAAGTCGGTAAGGTTAGAACTTTCTCAACCCAAGCAATTTTACTATGCTCCTAATCGACATCCAACTTATGCATCGAAGAATAATATCGGGATCCGTCCATCGGTATTGTTCTCTAAACTAGCATTTTTCTACCTTTTGTAGCATGCCTTCAAGACTGTGCATTAGATGAGGACATATTCGACATGCTATCAGGCATCCGGAATGCTACGTAGTAACATCCGACTTGGGCAAAATGAAATACTTTCTTCGGATATAAGTAAAGCATGTTATATGAGGAATATTCATTAGCTAGAAAAGGTATGCCCACGAAGTGTTATTAAGCATGAACCTCTTTAAGGACAATGATGCAATTCAATGTGTTGTAGTGGGACCCACGATCTGCTTATCTAATTAATTCCATATGTAAGGTTGAGTCTAGTTGTTGTTAAGTACATTGGCCATACAATCACTTGCTTGAATACTACAGTGCCTAAAAGGAACATATGATCCTGGAATCTTCTATAGAAGAGGCAAAAGTACATTCGAGTTTGTTTATATTTTGGGGATTGGTGTTGTATCTTGGAGCTCAAAGAAACAATCGGTGGTTACTCTTTCCACCACAAAGGTAGAATATATGGCAACAACATTATATGCATGCCAACATATTTGGATCATAAGAGTATTGGAAAAACCAGGGTGTCGAAGAAAATACAGAAACATTGATTATGTTTGATAATAGCTCCACAATTTAGTTGTCAAAGAACTCAGTGATGCACGCCAAAAGCAAACATACTGATGTACGATTCCACTTTCTAAGAGACATGGTCAAATAATGGCGAAGTTGAAGTAAGTTAATGCAACACTCATAATCAAGTTGTAGATGTGTTAACAAAGCCATTAAAGCTAGAACATTTTGAGAAGTTTTGTGAAATGCTTGGAGTAACCGAAGTCGCCAATTTAAGCTTAAAGTAGACGCTTTAGGTTAAGGGAGGGAATGTTAGATACTATCTCAGTTTGAATTGGCCTTCGCTTTAGGGGTAGCCTATTTGAATATGTTATAGTCTTTAGGAGTAGCTATTCCTTAGGAAGACTTGGTTTGTTTCAGAGTAGTCTATTTCAATAACACATTCCTTCTTGTTCTTAGATTTTCACAAAAAATAACACATTCCTTCTTGAATATGTTATAGTCTTTAGGAGTAGCTATTCCTTAGGAAGACTTGGTTTGTTTCAGAGTAGTAATATTTAAACAATGTAACAAAATATAAGTATAAATACATGTAAATAAATTATCGATCATATATATATATATATATATATATATATATATATATATATATATATATATATTATATATATATATATATATATATATATATATATATAGATGAAACACATTTGATTCGGTGAACTGGTTAGCTAATAATGAAACATTTTATAACTATAATGAATATATATACATTTTTATTGTGACACAAGTATAAAATAGTTATTTAATTTTCATAAGCCTCTCAGTTCCATAGAATCTTTTAATAGAATACGTAATTAAAAGAGAACATAAAAGTAAACTAACTTACTCAAATCCTGAAACCATAAAGTTTATAAATGACCTAACTTAAATATAAATATTGACCGGGAGCGCATGTATTCGAAAAAGATGACCTCAAAAGTGTCGTTATATGATCGGCCCCGCCATCAATTTGGACGACTTGGCGATGCCAAATTTCCTTTCTTATCTTCAATCAACAATCCAATGTCTCTCCTTTTTGCATGCCCATCATTACCTTTTGTAGCTTTGTTTCTAAATTAACTGATTTATTTTTTTAAACTGTATTGTAATTTGAACTTTAATACATAACAATGGAGATTTAACAAAAAAATTGAATAAGCAATAATACTAGAATGTATCTCTTAAGTGTCAAATAATCTAACGTAAACAAAGAAGACTTATTTACATTGTTTGACAAAACGAATGAACTATCCATATAATAGTATGGGAATGTCATTTCGTTCCATCCACAATTTAATTCAAGAAAAATAATAAGGGTTTTTTTTTTTTTTTTTTTTTTTTTTTTTTTTTTGTAATATTTGTAAACTGCAAACTTTTAGTCAACTTTTTTTTTTCTATAGATCAGATCTGTAGATTAAAGCCGTTTGATCTCTTCAAAATAAACAACACCTACAACTTCTTAAACATTTCAAATTAGTCGTAGAATTATGATATTATTTTTATTATGTTTTCTATTGTAATTCAAAACTCAACTTATATATCTACATATTTGAGTAATCAACAATCTTGGAATCTAGATTTTGATTAGACCATTACAAGTTTGACAAGTAAAGCCTTGAGTTGCATATAATCGCCAATACTCATGTGAGTACAAATAGCAGTATACTTTTCTTTAGATTCATATAAAGAAATATTGCAAAAGGTGAGAATTTCGTGGACCTATCAACTATTCAAAAAACAATTCATACCCGTCGAAATTAATACCACAATGAATAATACAAAATCCCTTGATAGCATTAATAAAAATGGGAAATTACGCTTTTTATTAATTAAAACCAGGACAAATTTTGCTATAAAAATACATTAATAACATAACAGTGTTGGTTTTGGTAAATAGCCACCATAATCATCTAAAAAAGGAGCGAATAATTGAGGAAAAAGTACTTCTAACGAACTATTTTGTACTTGCTTGCACCAATAGTTGGTCAAAAGATTATAGTCAAATTGACTAAAAGTAATATTTGGAATAAGAATTATTTATGACTTTAAAAAGAGTTATTCACAAAATAGTAATACTATTTTGCAAGTTTTCTTTCCTTATTAAAAGGTGAAAATTCACGGCGTTGCACATAAATAAAAGGGAAAATGACATTTGAGGGTAATAAAGTCTTCGATAAGTACTCAGTTGGTCCCTTATCTTTTTTTTTTTGTCTTTATTATGCCATTGAACTTAATAATCCTGCTCACCGTGAAGAAGATGGCCTCTGATTCCAAACTCCGTAAGTATTTGACAGTTTATGTACATTATAATGGTTTATTCGCACCAAAACCATTAGTGTACTTGAACGCTGTTGTTGTTTCAATCTCTGATGTCGATTTTGGTGCAATGGATCTCAAAGAGTTTAAGTTGTTCGTTGCAAAGTTGATTGAAAGCAGTTGCGATAATGTATATTACTGCACTAGAAATGAACCATTGGCAGAGGGTATTAGGAGAATTGGGAATGATGCTGACTACTATGAGTTTATTGAAACGGGTTATAGTGATGAAGCTGGTCTAACAATGAATGTGTATATAGACCACGAAAATGAAGCTGTACTTGATTGGGCTGATATGGAAGTACTAGAAGATGATGAAGGGCATTATTATGAGCCAGATGTGGATGATGATAAAGATTCACAACTTTCTGATGATATTCCATATGAGCATGAAGTAGATGGTTACATTCCTTCTCTTGACAAGACTGTTGGTGATGAATTCTTACACCGGGTGTCAGGTATTTCTAAGGATAAAAATGATGAGCTTGAAACTGATGAGGTTGAAACCAACAATGGGGATGACAAACCAGTGTACCCTATCCATAATGAGAACCGGAAATGGGACAAAATGGTGCCAATTCTAGGTATGAGATTCTCTAACCCTATGGAATTGAAAAATTGTTTGACTAACTATGCAGTGAAGAATGGGTACAATCTTTATTATGAGAAAAATGATAGTCAGAGGTTATTAGTGAGATGCTGTAAAGATAACAAGAATCCCTCTTGTCCTTTTAGACCGTGGGCTTCCTGGATGAGTAGTGAAAGGTCTTTCCAGATTAAGTCCTTAGTTGATGACCATAACTGTTCAAGAGTCTTCAAACTTGGTTCCATTGTAACATATAAATGGATTGGAAAGCATTTTAAGAATCCGCTTTTGAAGAACCCCAAAATGAGCATAAGGAAAATGAAAGCCAAAGTGAGTACAAAGTTTAACTTGATTGTTAGTGTGACTCAGTGTAGAAATGCTAGGAGATATGCTTTGGATGAGATAGAGGGTAGTTTGATAGAACATTATGGTAAAGTATGGAGTTATGGTGAAGAGATAATGAGGAAAAATCCTGGTTCAACAGTAAAGATAGATGTGAATGTCATGCCTGATTCCACCACTTACTTTTCTAAAATGTATGTTTGTTTTAAGGGTGTGAAGGATGGTTGGATTGCAGCATGTAGGAGGGTAATAGGGGTAGATGGTTGTTTTTTAAAGGGTATATGTAGAGGCCAACTGTTAACAGCTATGGGAAGGGATGGAAACAACCACATCTTCCCTATTGCATGGGCTGTGGTGGCAGTAGAAAATAAGGAAACATGGAAGTGGTTTCTTGACCTCCTACTGGATGACATTGAAATGGGAATTGGTCATGGATTGACCCTCATATCAGACCAACACAAGGTATATTTTCTTTTAAGTTTTGTTTGAGTTCAATGTTTTTTGTCATGTCATCCATTCCTTGTTTCTTTCAGGGATTGGTAGAGGCTGTCAAAGAAAGAGTTCCAGCAGCAGAGCATAGACAATGTGCTAGGCACATCTATGCTAACTTCAAGAAAAGATTCAAAGGTGAACAATACAGGAAGTTGTTTTGGGCAGCTGCTGCTAGTACTACTCAACCTAAATTTGAGGCAGAAATGAATTCCATAAAAAAAATTGACCCTTTAGCTTATGAACACCTCATGGAAAGGGACCCTAAAAGTTGGTGCAGGGCATTCTTTTGAAGTGGACAGGGCTTGTGATGCTTATGAGAATGACATATCAGAAAGTTTCAACTCTGTTATTGATCTTGCTAGGAAGAGACCACTCATCACCATGTTGGAAGAGATTCGGATTTATGCAATGGAGAGGATGTATAGAATGCTGCTAGAGGGACAAAGTTGGGGTAATTTAAAAATATGCCCATTTATAAGATTAAAGATATCAAAGTTAAAGAAACAGCAAAGGTATGATATAACTTGTATTTCATAAGTATTATTATGTCATCTAGTAGATTAATAGAACTTGTTATTTTTGTGGACAAATTTGGGGAGTTATACCTTCTGGGGTACAAAAATATGAGGTTAGGATTGGAAATGATGGATATGCTGTGGACCTTACCAACAACACATGTGGATGTAGATCTTGGCAAGTATCAGGTATCCCATGTGTGCATGCAGTGGCAGCCATTTCATACCTCAACAGGAATGCAGAGGATTATGTTGCACCATGGTTCCATACAGCCATGTTCTTGACTTGTTACAACCATACCATTAATCCACTTAAAGGTAGTTCCATGTGGCCTGAAGCTCCCTACATGAAGCCATTGCCTCCTCAAAAAAGAAGGTTACCAGGAAGGCCAACCCTTAAAAGGAAAATGGATCAATCTGAGAGGGAAAGCAAGGGGAAAACAAGGCATACTATCTCAAAAGCAGGTCCAGTTAATAGATGCACTATTTGTAGAGAAAGGGGCCACAATAGATCAACATGTCCTACTAGACCAGCAGATGTAGCATCCACTTCAAGGCCAAAAAACAAGAAACCTAAAAAATGTAAAAAAGAAAAAGGTATGCTATTAAAATTAAAACAATATAATTAAATTGCAACAGCCAATTCATTAACTACATCTTTGTATAGCAGGTAAAGTGGAACCAGTTCAAGTGGATCCAGTTCAAGTAGATCCAGCTCAAGTGGATCCAGTTGAAGTAAATCCAGCTCCACATGTTGAACCAGTTGATGATCCAGCTCCACATGTTGAACCAGTTCAAGTAGATGATCCTGTTAATGATGTCCCTGCTCAACCAGTTGCAACTAGGCAGAGGATACGAAAATACTCAGAAAGAATTACCAAGATAGGGTTGAGGAGGAAGGTTTTGAAGAAAGAAGGAAACACTGATCACCACCCAATGGTGTTGGAATGATTTTATGTTTAAATATTTTTGGAAAGACAAACTTTTAGTCTCTTAATTATGTAATTGGTAAAACTTTAAGAATCATGGCACATGGCACATCTTTTGACATATTAGGACAACTGTGGGCACAACTTTTGTAATGGTGCACATGTTGATGGAATATTACAACTTTGTCTTTTATCTATATGCTTTGTTGTTTGTTTATTTGCATATACATTGTTTAATCTTATATTATCTATCATTAATTAAGAAATGTTTAATATTATATTATCTATCATTACTGCCAAATTTAATCTGGACCATTTTACCCCTGGATCACATCAAGACATTAACAATTATCATTAATCAAAAAGATTTTGTCTTAATACATTAAGAAATGTTTGATGTATCCAATGTGGTTAATGTGGACCATTTTACCCTTGGATCACATCAAGAGATTAACAATTGATTACTGCCAAATTTAATCTGGACCATTTTACCCCTGCATCATGTCCAATTCACTAACCTGTTAAACACATTAATACTTCTTTGAAACCACTCAAAACATCAAACTATCATTAATCAAAAAGATTTTGTCTTAATACATCAAACAAATTACAACATTAAGGGTTACATTTAGTCTTTGAATACAGCTAAACTAACTACTTCTTAAACACAAATAACATAAACAACACAATCATCACAATTTTATGAGTAAATAGCTTCCATTTGAGTTTTTCAAACTCTTGTCTAACAACCAAATTTTCTTGTTCCATCTTCATCTTACATATGCTGATCTCGTTTTCCAATATAGAAACTTTGAGGGTTAAATTGCACAGCTCTTTTTTGTCCTTCCCAGAACTGACTTCATTTTTAGGGGTTTCAGGCTCCAACCATTCCTAGAACTTGCATTTTGGTCCTTCATTCTTGAAAAAAGTAACAAATTGGTTAAAGAAAGAAGATTAAACGAAAAGTAAAAAACATTTGTTTTACCATGGAGTTAGGGCACAATCTGAATTTTTTTCCTGGATTGTCTTTAGTTCGTGAAGTTCGTACACGAGATGGTAACCCACAGTAACAAGGATTTTCAGGTTGAAATTCAGCATTTCGTTTGGAAGAAATAGAAGAAGAGGAAGAAGCATCCATGTCGATCTAGGGCAAGAATGATGGAGTACTGCAGCTTTGCAATAAATAAGCCCAATTTATGCCACATAATGCCATGTAATATCCACATAAGCAGTAACCTACAACAACCGGTATCGAGGGTTTTGGTGAGCAGGATTATTAAGTTGAATGGTATAATAAAGACAAAAAAAAGATAAGGGACCAAATGAGTACTTATCGAAGACTTTATTACCCTCAAATGTCATTTTCCCTAAATAAAACTATATTGTTAAAATCATAAAAAAGATATAGTGCTGATTAGAATAATATAATTATATTATTGATACATATATTGTATTAGAAATATGTATATCGTTGTTATTAATTAAGAGTTATAAAAATCATTTTATGAACTTGTTTCTTATTAACAATAATTATCGTTTATATGTTATTAATGTCATCCATAACTTCCTAGCAAATATTTTGATTATTTTGGATGTTAGTTTTGTTGATAAATTATAAAACAACAACAAAAGATAAGTTTCAAGTGAAAAAAATTAAGAAACAATGTTAAAATGATAAACAAAAGAATAAAAATTAATAATAAAAATAACATAGGTTTCAATTAGAAATTAAAGAATTATGAAATAATATTAAAACGACAAACAAAAGCATAAACTCTAATAATAAAAAACAATTTGAAAAAAAATAAAAGAAGTTTAACATAAAGAAAGAAATAGAACCAAGTACTAAATTATAATCTATCTGATGAAAATGTCTATCAAACAACAATATTATTGCTCATGTTTTATTCCATGAAGTAGAACTTTATTTTCTTCTTAACTCTTTTTTTCTCAATGTTATTCTTGAAATCCTAACAACTAATATTCATGAACTATATATATACACTAAATCAACCAAATAATATATCATAAGTTATAAAAACTCTCAAGTTATAATAGTTAATTAGTTGAAAGCTAAAACATTTTAGTATTAAAATAATATTTAATACGATTATAAAAAATCTTTTGATATATAATACTTAGATGATAGATTGAAAAGTTGTAATAAACTACCATAAGTCATGATATAATATCAAACTTTATCATAATATTTATTACTTATGATTACAATCATTATTAAAAAAAACAATTGAATGGTCATTGGAGTTTCAGATGCTTGATGTTCAAGTATTTTGGCATCTATTATAGTAGATATATAGATATAGATAATCATAGATTTTTAAACTTATTTAAATAATAAACAACCCCATGAAAAACCTCACAAACTTGTGCACATATAAATTCTGACATAAAGGCATTTCGATAAACTTTTATGGTTATAATTTTCTCTTTACAAGCCATATTAATAAAACAATCATCGACCCTACCAATCAAGGCTCGATACCTGTTCACGAGCAATTATTTTCGTTGTGCCCTGTGAGTATTGATGTTTTGTTGTGTAATGTCCCAAATTCCAAACTAAAATTTTTATTTTTAATATAGAGTAAACAACCATTTTTATTAAAGTTGCATTCAAGTCAAATCACTTGTTCATAAACCATAATTCAAAAATTAGAGTTATAAGGAAGATAATGCAGAATCTCGAATCATAAAACTGTTGATGTGTGTGTACACTCCCGCCTTTGCAATCTGATAAGTACCTGAAAAACATTCAATCCACAACTGTAAGCACAAAGTTTAGTGTGTTCCCCAAAATATCACATACAAAACAACATAAATAAACAACCATGGGTTATTAGCAACCCCTGGGGACTATCAGCAGTACCAATGGACTAGCAGTATGTCCTGTGGGCTAACTATTGGATTAAGGTGTCTAAGTCAATAACTAAATTGATATATTCTTGTAATTAGAAGCAAAGTCCTTTTTGGGTTGCCCTCAAGACCAGAAATAGTTTGAAATGATATTAGGAGAAAGAAGTATAATTTATTAGATTATTATATGATTAATAAACTAATTGGAAATTATGGGAAAATGATTTATTAATATAGTATGTGATTAATATATTAATTAGAAATAGAGATTTGGTTTTTTAACTATGTGGTTAATAGATTAATATGAGATCAATGTTAAATAATTGATTTATTAATTTATATGATTAATAACTTAATGTGAAATCAATTAGAAATGATTAATTATTAATCAGAATTAATTTGGAATTAATTTGGGATTAATTGGACTTAATTAAAGGTGTAAATGGTGAATTGTAATTGTTCAATAGTTGAACAAAAGAAGAAATTCTAGAACCCTTCATGGTATGGACAGTTTTAGAGGGTTTCTTAGGGTTTTCTGGAAGCCTCCTGGTTGCATAAAAGAAAAGGATTTGAATTATGATTAAATTTATTATTTAATCAATTCAAATCTTGCTTTACTTGCAAGTTACCTAAACTATAAATAGGACCCTTGGCTTGTAATTTTCATTCACAACATTACCTAAAGGTATAGGAACAAAATTCCATTCATATCTCATCTCTCCTCCTTATTCTAGGGTTTCCGGTTTTGGATGTGAGCCATTAGAGGCATCATCATTTTGGTGTTTTCTTTCCAAGGAACTTCAAGAGGATTTGATTTGATTATTTTTATGATAACCAAAAGGTATGTAACCCTAATCTTTATGTAAATTTCATTTTTCATAATCTCTCTCTAGGATTTCTTGATGTTCATAAGTTATTGCTATCAATAGAGAAAACATAAATCCTTTCTAGGTTGCATATGAACTTAAGGGTTTAAGTGTTTTTTCGACATATGAATTTTTTTATAACCTAGAAATACCATCAATGGTATCAGAACCTTAGTTTTCTAATTGATTGTGCATAATAGTGAATTAATCAAAATTAGAGTTTATGGAAATTAAACCCTAATAGTCTTAAATTTTTGCTAAAGGCTAAGGTTCTTAAAACCCTAGCCTCCACCCCTATTTTCGAAAATGCTAGGTTTCCCTTCGGGTTTTTAGTTTCCTTAATTATAATTTTAAATGCATTAGAATTTGGATAACTAAAACCTAGTAACCCTAATCCCTTTACTTTTAAAAATTAGAAGGATTATTGGCTTATGATTAAATTTGAATTATTTTATTAATGATTTAGTTGATGATAATTATTTAATCCATAATGATTTAAATTTGAATTATTTTATTAGTTGTTTAATTGGAGATAATTATTTAAATCCTTAATAATTTAAATTAATTGATGATTGATAAATCATTAATTGATTAAAATAAATTAATTATTAAAAGTTTAATTCGAAAATTAATTTTATACCCTAGTATTTTGAAAAGTTTTAAAATACACCTTATACTATTCGAAAATTAATTTTATAAGAAAAGTCAGTCAAATCAGTAGTAGGTCTCATTCACGAAGCCATACTCTAAGGGGGTATAAGGCAACGACCTATTAAATTACCATCATTGGGTGTCCGCTCTCACTCACCGCTCCCTTATATGGTGGGGGATCGTTAGCCAAACGGATTTAATAGGACATAACCTCATTAAAAGTATGATACTATAAAGTACTAGAACCCACTTTAAAATCTCACTCTAGATACTTTAGGAAAAATGTGAAGTGTATGCTAATCCATGAAAACACACATCACTCTTTATATGTCGTTAGTGGAGCGTGCGTGGTTAACCGACACACTAATTTAGGACTATAATGTTGAGTGATGGTCAAATCGAAAATTATCATTGTTGATGTAGCGTGTGTGGTTTACCGACATATCTGTTTGAGATGATAAATGACCTCGAGGTTGTCAAGCAGATTTGTATGGTTATTCACATCTCGTTTGTGATCATCGACATCCCAGTGACAAAAGGTGAGAGCATAATCTAAGGTTAAACATGTCGTTGATAAGATTCAATGAATCTCAAAAGATGTAGGAGTTTCAAAAAATTGAAATTGGTAAAAGCC